GGGGGTACGGGACCCTGACCTGCGGGATACCTGCGGGCACCCTCCTACCCCCAGAGCCCGGGGCTAAGATGGGGGGCAGAGGGAATGTGGGGGTTTGGGCATGAAGGACTCGGAGCCAGCCTGGGAACCGCTCGGAAAGGTTCAGAGCTGATGTTTGGCTGCCTTCAGCGGCTGGGTACGAGTCGTGGTCAGAAGCGAGGGGTAGGGATCTTTCTCCTCCCAAATCGGAGCCGGGGCAGGGGAACGGGAGAGACCTGACGCTGCGCTTCTCTCCGCCAGCGAAGCTCGGCGACACGCAGGAGCTGGAGGAGTTCATCGCGGACCTGGATAAAGCGTTGGAGGGTACGTACGCAGCCCTGACCCCCCTGCTTGAGCCCCGAGCTGCACCCAGGGCTTGGGCAGAGGCTTCTCCGTTGCCTCTGGCTCGGCAGAGCCTGGCCCAGCGCCCTTCCTAGCTGAGCCTGCCGCTGCGGGGGGGCTTAGAGCCTGGTTTGGGCTGCAGGGGTGGGATCCTTCTGTCTTTTCTCTTGCGGCGCGGGGGGGGCTCATCTGGAGGTCGCCTTCCCCATCCCCCTTCAAGCAGCTGGGGTGGAAATTCCACTGCTTGAGTGTCTTCCCTCCCTGGTGCCTCAGTTTCCCCCAGCTGGGGAAGAGGAGGCGGCAGCACTGTCCTGGTGGAGGGGACGGGGGCTGTGAAGGCCAGCTTGGTCCCAACAACCTGCCAAAAATGCAGCCAGACGGGGCAGCCCGCAGAGCTGTTGGCGTTTCGGCAAGATGCAGGGGTGGTTGTGGCGCTCTGCCTGCGGCGTCCCTCCGGCGGCTGCCCAAGGGCTCTTCCTTGCTGGGGGGGGGGCAAGGGGAGCAGGAGGAAAAGGGTATTTTTCCTTGCGGTATGCCCCGGCCTGGAAAAAAAAAAGTGGAAATATCCCATCTGGAGGGAGGAAGGTGATTCACCGCACCTAAGGCGTGCTGCCGTGGAAGGGCCCCGCGGGGCGTGCTGGCGGCGAGCGAAGCCGTGGGCAGGTCTCGGGGTGAGCCTCCAGCATCTGCAGAGCGGGAGCCGCGGGTCTGTGCGGTGGCCGAGAGGGGAATCCCAGCCCTGGGGGAGCACCGAAGGGTCGTGGTCTCCTCCTGCGGATGTTTTCCTCCTGGTAAAGGGCTCGGCTGCAGGTACCCCTGGGGAAGGGGGGGGATCTCCGGCAGCTTTACCCAGGCAGCTCTGCAGTCCTGTGAGGTTGGCTGGCCCCCGGTAGCCTCTTTGCTGGGGAAACTGAGGCAGAGGTCACACTTCCTCTCCGAAGGGATCCCTGGGTGACAGACTGGGGGCAGAGAGAGCTTGATTTAAAAAAAAAACAAAAAACCCAAGCTATTTCCCCCCAGGCAGGCTGCAGAAGTCACAGTTCTCAGTATCTGTTCCCTTCCCTTCTGAGTGTCCGAAACGAGGTGGCGGGTGGGGAGCGTTGCTTCTGCTGGCCCCGAGCTGTGCTGGGA